ATAGATGTTTGGGAGAATGAAATGCTGGGGATTCATAAAACTGGTGTAGAGCCGCATTTTGCAACTGCAACGCATTTTGCAACCAAAGAAAATCGTGAAAACGAATTTTTCAACCGGAACGCATTTTGCAACCAGATTTTTTTCTTAGTCAATAAACAGTGTGAAGTTCTATAGAGGTAGAATTGGAATGGGGACGGGGTTGTCTCGGCTAGGTACGCTTACATTGGTCAAGCTTTCCCTGTGGTGGACAATTTATTATATACGTGCATAATTTATTTCACATTGTTACTTCCTAAACCATCATAGTAAGGAACTTGATACGTCGGGGATTAATGAACCTATCATTATAGGAATTTGCAAAGGCTCTTCAAAATTCAATTGTGACTTGGGATGTGGTCGACCCTGGGGGTGGTCTATTCTAATTTTTACATCGTATTTTATGCTAGGAACATGAAACGTGGCTACATACCATTTTGAATGTGGAAGGGCACTTCGGATTTTTTTTTTTTTTTGGGGGGGGGGTCCTGGGGGCGGTTGAGTCTAATTGATCGACATTGTAATTCCTGCTATCTACCCTTAGACCAAGCTGGGAACGTAAGGCTATGGGGATTGAAAAATCTGTCTTTGGGGATGTGTATGGGTCCTTCTGGGTTTTTGTGACATTGGGTGTGGCCGTCCGTGGGGAGGTTGATTTTAAATTTTACATCGTTATTCGTGCTTCTACCCTTACGCCATTACAGTTGGTAACATGAAACCTGCCGGGCTGATAAGCTTACCATTGAGGATATGCATAGGTTTCCGGGAATGTTAGTATGATATTTGAGGTGTGGCTATCTATTTTTCACAACTTTTTTTCTGCCATCTATACCCTTAAATTTTAAGGAACATGAAACGGAGATTGATGAACCAGTCATTTTAATGAATGTGCATGGGTCCTTGAGAAATGTAGAGAACAGCAGAAGCACATACAGAACTAAATGGACTTCCAGCCATATGCATAAATATAGGTCAGGGAATCCAATTAAAAACTAATTCAAGGCCCCACACACTCGATCAGGAATCCTAGTGTTTAACTGCTGTTGTATCTTAACACAAAACAAAAATGTTTATTAACCAAGAGCAGTAATTAACATGTGTGTTTTATGTTAAAGAACAACGAGACTTGGACCCTAGGATTCATGAGAGTATGGGATCTTGAATGGGTTTTAATTAACTTGACTTATATTCAAGAATAGGACTGAATGTCTGTTATTAAGTACCGTCTGCTGCCTTCTCTTCATTTTCCCTTCCTTCCTAACTCAAAGACCGCCTTCAGATTCACACAGTACTAGCCGGGTCGGTCCAACTCTGCAAGGAATCTTTTAAGATTCTTAAAAGTGCAGCTTAAAAGTGCAATCTATGGAATCAGCTTCATTGCCGAACAAACCACTAATCACTCCACCCCCTAGGGACGGCCACACCCCAAGTCACACTAAAACCCAAGACTCATGTTCCTAATTCGAATGGTCTAGGGAGAGATGAAATAAATTACGGTATATGTGTACCATCCCCAGGGACAGCCACACCCCAGGTCACAAAAAAAAAAAAAACCGTGCCTATGCACACCCCGACATTTTAGTTTCCTTAACCTAAAGACCTGGGTATATAGCAGAAAATACAATTTAAAGATAATAATCAACCACCCCTAGGTCACCAAAGTCACCAAAGATCCCAAGGACACGTGCCCATCCCTAATGGCAAGTTTAAATATCCCCAACGTCTCATGTTCCTCACTTTAATGGATAGAGGATACCAGTAACAACGATATAAAAAATATATACCCCCCAAAGGACTGCAAAGTCACACTACTAAAGATCTACTTGTTGTTGTTCCTATGTGTTTATTTATCCATCTTATAATCCAGTAACCTACGCGTAAAATTTGTTCCCATAGCCTGGTTTACCTGATCCATTAGTTTTATGTATAAAGCGGATCTGGCAAGGGAGGGCCCAGGGGGTCTTGACCCCCTTTTCTTCAACGCTGACCATAATCTTACATAATGTACTGATTTTTAGAAATACTGGATCCTCACCTTCATCTGCCGATGTATTTTAAAATTACTCAAAACATGCATCCAATACCACTAAAGAAACCCTATTCAGTTATACAAGTAAATTAAAACGTACAGTTCACCTATTTTGGATAATATTTACAGTACAAAAAAATTATATTTCAAAAACGTTCTCTCTCATAACGTTGGGCCAACAACAGGTAGGCCTACTTTTTCACCATTATCCCATGAAGTCGCAGCCAATATATTATGTGGAGATGAAGTCGCATTTTATCCTATGAAGTCGATTTGACAGTAAAATCAGAGCATTTATCCCATGAAGTGGTAATATACCATAAAGTATCTTAACAGACGTTCTCGCCTGACTTTTGAACATAATATTGCTGGGTATCTTTTAGCTCTATGTTTTTACTAGCTGTGTTTGAATATTGTGTGCGCCCCTTGACAATTAATTTCGAACGTGTGTGTGTGTGTGTTTAAATGTAAGTATTATCACCAAGATTACTGATAAATTAATTAATTCGATGCTGCTTGTCACAGTACTGAGCTTTTGGTTTCAGTATGAGTGTGTTCCGTCAACGTGTATATCAATTCCATAGACAAATTCTATGATCAAATTTTATCAACAGTACAAAAATCTGTCTTGACGACAATTGCGACAGTTTTAAAAATATTTTTAAAACTTTTTTGTATTTTCATGATCATGATGGTTGTTTTTTTCTCTTTTTATTTCTGTATTATTCTAGCATTATTCATATGTTGAAAGCCTTTCTGTTTAGTCTAAAGTTATGAACATTATTTTCTCATTTCAGACGCGAAGATATTCTGCACAAAATGCGCCTGCAAGCAAGCAACGAATTGGTGCCTTTGTTTCACACCCAGGAAACCCACGCTCATCCAAATTACGTAGCTTCAGGACCGTAGCCTCCGAGGGGGCAGCTGCCCCCCCCCCCCCCCCCCCTGGGATTTGAGGTGCAAAAAAATAATCAGAGGCAGAGGAACGCCTTAGCGGATTGGCTGTCTTGCATTTCCACAGAGGAAGAGACGTCATTCCTGATCCTGAGACAATCTACGAAATGAAGTCCAATTTGTGTTGAAAAAATGACTGTACTTATGGCAAAATGAACCCACAATTTCTGACTTCTGATTGAGCAATAAATAACAGTTAAAATGCACCAGAATGCAGTATTATACATACAGTTTTTACAAATTTTCCACACCTTGGGGGGG